AAACTTGGATGTATATTACTGGTAGCCTCGTTCTCACAATTTCGTTGCAAAACGATATATATATATGTATATATATATATATATATATATATATATATATATATATGTATATATAAAGGGTATTATTGTAGCACTTGTTTTGCTCTCTGTAAAGAAAATTGAGTATTTAACAACATTAAAGTTGTGATTAGAGTATTCATTAACAGTCCAGACGCTGTATATTTTTAATTGCTAAACTCGTATACCCTTTTTTGTATGCTTTTAGTTCAAGAAAGACATACAGTCAACAATTGAGCTTCATTTTACTTGCAATATTTTGTACATTTGGCGAATTTCGCTTTTTTATGTAAAATTCATTCCATCCATGCAAAGTCGAATTCAAACAAAAATTATTTTGCCTTCGAACAACATAAGGGATATTAGAAATGGTTGGCCAAGCTTCTACTGTATACTCAAACATTGTGCTCAAAATCTTACTACAACTCATCATCATTGAACTGATGTTGCACTTAGAAATTACTAAAATAGAATGATTTTTGAAATTTCGTTATTGTGATTGTCAACTTCTAAACGATTTTATTCTACAAGTTCCTTCTGGCAAAGTAATTTATTCGGTATATCTGAAAACCGCAAATAAATACTGGACAGCATTTTAAATTGATGTTATTTCCTGATTAGAGCCGTAAGATCTATTTTATCAAGTGAACCTTCACCGTTCGCATTAATATGAGCCTTCCATGTAAGGCTCTTGAGCAGTAGAATCGGAACCATCCTATACCTCGGATATTTATTATTTATTGGACATTACAGTAAATGATTTTCATTTATATTAGGAAAAGGCGGGTCGATATCGAGAAATAGAAACAAAATTAATCTGCTCGTTCTATATGTTATAGACCCATATGTTCCACATAGGCTAGGTGAATTTTCGATAAAAATGTGTAAAAGTATCTTAATAAAAAAATTTAAAAAATTAAAAAGGTAAATATAAATTTGTTTCCCCATTTCTTGGGCTCTGGGATTGAATATTCCACAATCCTGTCATCTGTAATGATAAAGACGGGATTTTATATCTATTGGTTTGTGGTTTGCACTGATAGACAGTAGCCAATCGGCAATCAAAATTCTGATTAAACTCTTGCTGAATTGTGTGCCAACCATAACCAGACCGAACCAATTCAATCAAAAAGCCCGCATTGCTCATCGACACGTGCGCTGAGTCAACACTTTTCACAACCACAGGGGTACAATTTGCGCAGGACAGCCATATAAGTTTGATCCCCGACGAGATGCAACCATACTTACAGAGTCTGCAGAAACATACAGTTAAGCATCAGCTGCAGCATCAGCGATCCATTGACAACATCAAGCCCCACAAACAGCGACGCGAAGCGTAGTCAACAAGTATTTGCAGCAGTGCTCAGCATAATAATATATTTATTTATTTAATGTCGACTAAAACAAAAAAAAAAAAAAAAATATATATATATATATATATATATATATATATATAAATTTAAAAAATTTAAAAGGTAAATATACATTTGTTCCCGCATATCTTGGGATCTGGGATTGAATATTCCACAATCCTGTCATCCATAATGATAACGACGGGATTTAAGATCTATTAGTTTGTGGTTTGCACTGATAGATAGTAGCCAATCGGCCAATTAATACATAAATAAATAAATTGAATTAAATATAATTAAAAAGAAAATGCAATATTTATGCTTTGAATTGGTCCAACATTTGTTGATTATTTAAATGTAGTAGATGATGCCAAGCCACAAATAATAGCGATAATGTTATTCCCGGGACAAGAATTGAGTTTTTAATGATTTTTCTATATTGTATACTATATACCGATCTCTTTCTCTGTTCTTCTAAACTTTTTTAATTTCCTTTTTAATAAGTTACTCACGCTAAAATTTTTTAGTTTGATTGGGTTATAGATTTCACTACATTTATATTTATTTAATATATTCTTTAATTTATTTAAAAATTTTAAACAAAAATTTAAAAATTTTATTTTAAATTTGTATTTATTAAATCCTTTCAATAACCGTGGACAGTTTTTACTCCATATTAAATTAATAAATATAAACCCTTGTATTTAGCAACAAGCTTTAGTTATTATTTCAACTTAATACAAAACATTTAATTTAGATGTAACTAATTCAATTGACAATATGACGCAATTAAATGAGATAATGAACCTTAATTTTGAAATAAGCGATTTCGAATCCCGTTTGAAATATAAGGTAAATAAGGTAAATCAGTATAAATAATGCATGAAATAGATTGAAGTATATATCGCCGACCCAATCAAGTAAATATATTCCCTATCAGCGTAAAGCTGGTCGAGATAAGCTGTCTATCTTCCTGTTTCATAATGGTTTTATACCAGTTATTATATTTTGACAAAGAATTATAATCATCACTCGGAATGATTATATAATTATCTGATATGAGAAACATTTTTCATTTGCAATATATATATTAAGACTTTACACTGTTTTTAAATTTTTTAAATCGATGTTTTTATTGATAACATTAGATCTCATAAAAACATTAGGTATAAAGATGAGTTCTGTTATGATCGAAAGAACTCGACAAGCAACCACCTTTAACCTACGCTTATTTCATTCACTTAAATTCTTATCTATCATCTGTGTATTCAATTCAAAGCGTTTAAGATAAAATAAGCATTCTATGTAGTGCTCAAGGATTAGTTAATTGTTATGTAAAGGTAATGATTTATGATAGTAAGTTTCTTCTCTCTCTCTCTCCACTACGTTAAAAAAAGCCTATATTTACTAGCAAATACCTGGGAAGCAATGCTCTTGATTTAAGGGAAACAGAAGAGCTATCTATAAAATTTAATAAAAAGCACTACATACCGATGATACTTTATAGATATATAAATGTATGCGGATTTTTACGAAATCCATATTATTAATTTAAAAAAAAGAATATTTTTTAATAAGAGCTACTGGTGTTCATATTTTAGTACAATAATCATTATAATTATCTATAATCCATTGGAGCAATCGATGGAAAGCTGAGCTCGTGTACTTTAAGATTTGAGGAGTCATCATTAGGGGTTCCTTTCAATATAATGGAACAAATAATTTTTATTGCAACAATTAGAAAATACTCCAGAGTAGAAGCTACTACCCTTAAAAGCTCTCGGCATCTGAAAGACCACATTAAGTGATTTTATCAATGTTTGGATCCAACTGAAAATTAGCAGAAAGTTAAGAGTGGAAGAGAAATTTGTTTTAAAAGGTAGTTGGTCTTTGCTCTTGAAACTTTTGCATACTTTTTATGCTGCATTCTGTTCAGAAGATTAATCTTGTTTTTAAAGCTGATGTTTAGTTAGTATAAATAGCCGATCGAAAACCAAAACATGATACAAATTTTGCTTCAAGCAACTAAAAAAAATCCACAAAGCCTGCACAAAAAAAATCAGCTGCATTAATTGTCTCAAAGGAAAATATGAAAGGGAAATACGAATTTGTCAAGCGACAAAAAACTAATTTGAAGCAGCAGGAAATCATTGCAGTAAAAATCAACCACATTATTTACAAGAGAACATCAAACTGTGTGCTCGTATTAAAAAATTTCCAACCAATTGCCAATAAAATTACGACGACGTCCATCATCATCTCCCTCAGCATATAGCAGAACTAGAGCCGGCCACAATACTAATTATTCGATCCCCATAGCACAACAGAAATCAGTTACTTGGAAGGTGTTGTATTTAAATAAATTTAGTTTCGCATAGTTTACAGTTAAATTAGTTTGAACTTTAGAGTATGCCTTATTTTTTAAGATTATTTTTTAAGAGGAATATCCTCTCCCGATTAAAGACCCATTCAAAATATGAATTGTTCAAATATCCACCACCATCGCTACTATTTCTACTACTACTACTCACACACTCACTCACCAATTCAAACACACTCGCATCATTTTATGAGTTTCAGAAGAAAGCAACTAAGAATATATATTCGAGCCAACGGGTACAGGGTATCCCTTGTTCGTTCCACTGTCGGCCAGCGCACTCTCAATTATGGCATATACCTAAAAGGAATTGTTGAAGATACTTAAATTGCTATTATATATATTATTACATATATTTATACTGTTTGAGCCTTTTATTATTTTTAGGGGTGGCTTTTATGCTTTCGATTGCTCTTTCTGCTTATTTTAATTTGATCGAAGATCGCAGCTTAAAAAATCATTCGACTGAAAAATCATGTCGTGCTGAGTGCTTGAATTCCAATTCATCCGTTCGACTGGATGGGAATAATTTCTATATCCAATACCCATTCAAAATCTTTAAAAATAAAAAAGGAAGCCGCTGTAACTCCATATTCGCATATTCGCATCAAAAGTCAATCGATCTAGCAGTGTTCGTTTGCCTGTCTGGACGTATGACCTAGTCGATCTCAGAGACATCGATAAATATTATGTATACATACGTATTATGCATTATATATACAAATAAATACATTTAACTAACTTTATCACCTAGCTGACACAGAAACTAACAGTCGACAGATGTAAATCTTTGTTGAGCTTGTGATTGGGATATATTATATGCATAACATTTTGACAAATAAAATTTGAATGTCGGACTACTAGAATATATATTCCTCTGTGCCAGCGCTAGACAAATTATTGCATATGTTCTCAAACTTTTTGAACATTATTTAAAGGCCGCAACTACCGTCCCCATAATCCTCAGTAATTTGAATACAGCCTTAAAAAAGCGCAAAAACTCCATCCATTTTTCCATCGATCTTCAAAATTATCTAAAAACTGTGTAGAAACTTTTCGGCATGTGGTTTTTTTCATTCTTTTTAATCTATACTAGAACGCTTGCGGCACTATGCACAAGGCAAAAGAGACAATTCTTATTATGAAAAGGCATAAAATCTGCATAATCTTGTTTTCAGAAACCTTTGTGCACCAATTTGCATCTCCGTTCGTCCCTTTTCCGTGAAATCAATAGGGAGTCGTGACTGTGTTGATCAGGCAAGATTGACACGTCAATCAATCGAATACTAATACTCAACAGACAAAAGAATGTTAAAGCTTTCTTAAGAAAAGAAGAATTTTGGAAGATGTCACTGCGAGCGAAAGCTTTAAATTTCCAGTTCGAAACCAGATGTTCTCAGGACAGAACTGAAGCTTTGGCGTCCAATCTGGAGAACTGCTTAAAATCATTCGAGACGGAATTCCATAATGGAGCCCATGTGGTCAATGATGCCTTAAAAAAACAAAAAAATATCCAGAAGAGCAATTATAACTGCTCTTTCAAATTGCTTCCTCGCAGTGTCTTAGTGTATATATTACACTAATATATTACGCTATACACTAAGCTGCGAGCTTCATCCTGGAAGGATTCCACGCGAAGGATTCTGACGGTAATGCATACTTTGACACCCATCAAGCATTTAACAGATGCTGGCACATTGGATTGCCCTATAATTTAAAAAGATTGACCAATCTTTCTCATTTTTAGGACGATTTTCTAAATTTTAAGGCCAATTTGGAATTTGCAATTTGGAATGACACGTCGGTTCACTTTAAAGTACATATTGAGATGGACTATATGTTTCCCAAAATTTAAAGACCAGAGTCACAAAATTTGAAAGATCGCTTATAAAATAGAGGACGAGTCCACTTCTGCAGCCATCATCCACTCTTTTCACTAGAATTGCGGAATCCAACATCTTCGAGCTACACTTACCAAATTTGGAAGGTAGTTTACCTCCATAGAACGAATCCACGATTAATCCCGCATCCGAAGTAAGTAAAAAGCTACTACACTCGAAAGATTACTTACAACATTTCCGATATGTTGAATCCCACCTATCCCCGCTACAAAGAACTTATTACATTTCTTTTAGTAATTGTTACACTGGTATCGTCCGCCTGCAAATTTAACTTTAATTTTATAATTAAATTCAAAAATAATTGTTAGAAAAAATATTATAACTGATTTTTATAAATTATGCGATGTTTTACACACATAACTAAAAAATTATAATACCCTGTTGATTATTGCAAAAATTGTACCTTAAATTATTGATTTTCCAAATAATCTCTAAAAAAGAGATTGGGAATATATTTTTATATCTGTCAGAGTTGTCGACTAAATAATGAATCTTAGTAAACAAAAATCGAATTTTCAAATTTCAGCTATCCACCCCTTATAGTCTTAATGGTCATGGGGATCAAGAATTTATATTTAATGTGGTAGGAGATTTATCTTACTATCTACATACATTTGCAAAGCATCCGAAATTATAAAAAAAAAACATTTTTTACATTATTTTGATTTGCCAATTTCTAGCCAAAATAAAAACATCTCGAATAGAAGTCTTAGTCAGCTGAGAATTGGAATTGTGCTGAATTCAGATAGAGGGATTTCGGTGTTATCCCCTTTATGTGTGTATGTGTTTATTTTGGACAACAAACAACGATTAGAATTTAAGTCGTCTCACCTTTGGTGAAATGTTGCCTTACGTGCACGTGTGTTTCCTGGTTCCCCTTTGTTCTTGATCTGAACGGTGAATCAAATTATTAAACAAATATTTTTCACACATTACCTTAAGGGATGGACAATTTTTGCTCAATGTCTGCTAGTGTCGTTAAGTAAAATGATTGGGCATGCAACAATGGCAGCAGAAAAATCAAAATCAAAATCGTTAGCAACGTCCTCGCTAAATACATGTACTTACCCTCAACTTTACGCACGTGGCCCAAGCCACGTGCACTCAATTCAGGTTGAATCCACGATTAAATTAATCGCTGATTAGTAACGGACAACCAAAAAATTAATACGAAACATAATATGACTAGAAATGCCTAACATATGTATATGTACAAAAAATAAAATTAAATATATAAATATAAAAAAAAATAATTATATGTATATGTATATGTATATGTATATGTATATGTATATGTATATGTATATGTATATGTATATGTATATGTATATGTATATGTATATGTATATGTATATGTATATGTATATGTATATGTATATGTATATGTATATGTATATGTATATGTATATGTATATGTATATGTATATGTATATGTATATGTATATGTATATGTATATGTATATGTATATAGTATATGTATATGTATATGTATATGTATATGTATATGTATATGTATATGTATATGTATATGTATATGTATATGTATATGTATATGTATATGTATATGTATATGTATATGTATATGTATATGTATATGTATATGTATATGTATATGTATATGTATATGTATATGTATATGTATATGTATATGTATATGTATATGTATATGTATATGTATATGTATATGTATATGTATATGTATATGTATATGTATATGTATATGTATATGTATATGTATATGTATATGTATATGTATATGTATATGTATATGTATATGTATATGTATATGTATATGTATATGTATATGTATATGTATATGTATATGTATATGTATATGTATATGTATATGTATATGTATATGTATATGTATATGTATATGTATATGTATATGTATATGTATATGTATATGTATATGTATATGTATATGTATATGTATATGTATATGTATATGTATATGTATATGTATATGTATATGTATATGTATATGTATATGTATATGTATATGTATATGTATATGTATATGTATATGTATATGTATATGTATATGTATATGTATATGTATATGTATATGTATATGTATATGTATATGTATATGTATATGTATATGTATATGTATATGTATATGTATATGTATATGTATATGTATATGTATATGTATATGTATATGTATATGTATATGTATAAGGTATATGTATATGTATAAGTATATGTATAGGTCCATTAAAGGGGTAGTTCACATATCTCAAACAATTTAAAAAGTAACAGTCATCAAATTTGGGTGGTAGGTTGGAGGGAGCCATATAAAAACGTCAATAAGTAAATGAATAGATAAATATGTGAGACACAAAAAAAAATACTTAAGTGTACATATGTATATATAATATAAATATATAAATATGTTATACATGCGTCCCTCACATTAGCTGTATATCAGATCAAAATCCGGCGGAATGCAAATTCGCGCTCTTTCGCCCTGTCCCTTTCTAAAGCTCACTCTCTCTGTCAATCCACTCGGGTACAGTCCCGCCAAAAAGGGTGATGGATCCGTTGCAAGGTTTGGTCGGTGGTAAGGTAGAGAGTGGGACAATTGAATTCCTCCTCATACGAGTAATAGGGGCAATCTTTGAGGAATCAATGTGACCGCTAGTGCTGTTGAAGAACAGGTGTGTTTGCACCATATCCCTGTCGGGTAGGCTGAGACCCTGGACGTAGCTGGAGTGCGGGGTGCGGAACATCGCAGGACATTACCGAGGAATCCAAGTGAACAGTTATTTATATTATCAACTAAATGCCGTTTTGTTAAATTAACCATTCTAAATTATATATAATAAACTGTTTTCTTTAATATCGCACTGCAACCGAATATAAATGCTCAGCTTGACCGAACTCAGCTTAGCTAAAATATCGAAAGCCGAACTGTTAATTACAACTGTCTCTCAATTTTGGTGGTTGCGGTAATTAAATAATGATCGCACGGCCCAGGAACACCGCAAAATATCGAAGTAAGGATGGAGTTTTTTCGCTTTGGCGGTACTACAAAACCATTGGAATTCCAAGTCAAATGGTCAACCGATGCGTATGGACATGACCACAACTTGATTCCCAGGGCTATACACGATGCGCTAAAAGGAATGGCACTTCAATAGTAGAAGAACAAGCACCGGAAATATTTCCTGACCGCGAACTATTTCGAGAATTCGAAGCATCCAGCCTATTTAGGGGACATTTGAATTGTACATGATGGATATGCAAACAGTCGTGCGGCTTCTGCATTATTAGGCGGAGAGAAAATTACATCAGATATACAATAAAGCTTCCAGACCATAGACTAACTAGACGCCTAACTGGATGGAGCCACCACAAAGGCGCATTGAATCGCACTATAACCATACAAATCCCACACATTGGCCAAGCCGAACAGGTTTCAATGCAATGAAGGATAGCCGACATACACAGCCAGACGTATCGTGGACGAGCTATCGTAGTTATCGGCAACTGTCAGTATAAGGGCCACGAATAGCTTCCTTGTGGACTGATCAGCGTAGGCCGAAGAAGCGCCACAGAGAGTTATGCGTCCGAGTGGCAAATGGCCGAAACAGCGGTGTCCGACATCAGATCAGACGGCAGATCATGGATATTTCTCTACCAATACTTCCTGAAGTTATTGACGACTTAGTTCTCGGATGGGATTACCTGTCCGGCACGGCACATAGTGTTGAAACATCAGGATGCGAGATTGTCGGTAGCCGAGACAGAAACCCCAGTCGGAGCACCAGTTCATTCAGACACAAAGGTTGAAGAATTTTTGGCGAACAGAATGCAGACCGGGATCAAGAAATACGTGGATTAATTATCGGTCAAAGGTTGTATTGAGCCTTCGAATAGCCCACAGTGCGCACCAATTGTCAATGTGACAAAAAAGACTGCAAAATAGCGCCTCAGCGTGCACTTTCGGCAAGCAGGGCGATATAAAACACATATCCATATTGTGCCACGGAATATGCGAACTTCATAACTATGCTTAGTTTGATCAATGACGAAGACACTGAGCTTAGTGATACAGAATAGCTTCTGCATTTTCCGTCCTGTTCAAGCCTAGCTTCAGATTCTGTACGATCGTTAAAAATGGCCAGTGTAAATTATCAAGCGGCCTTCGACATTTTTAGCAAATGCTTTAATAATAAGCGGTTAGTGTTCCAATCGCATATTAAGGAGCTTATTGGTCTGCAGGGAAACTTCGTGAGTTCTCGGATAAAGTCAACTCGCATCTGCGCGCACTTGAATCGTTGGGAAGCTCACATGCATTTTCTGGGTACACGCAACAGTGGACTTTGTCTTGTGTGTGGCAAGAGACATCATACCCTAATACACTTTGATGACCACCTTTCGCAGCAGGCAGCCAATGCATCGGCAGACGCCGTGCTTCTTCGTCTTCTATTTACCATCGGTATCTGTGTCTCTTGCTACACACAATGGTTCATCAGAAGTTGTGCTACTGGGCGCGGCAATCATTCTCGATAAAAGTCGTTCTGGAGTATTCCTCCCGTACAGAGTTTTACTAGATTCGGACTCTTAGCTGCATCTCGTCTTGGTAAAACCAATCTTTGCACTGAAGGTCAAACGGTGGAAATTTGCTTTAATTCCCAAATATTGGATTACGCCGCTTCACTCACAACTCTGGTCCCACACACCATTACGGATAAATTCGAGTATTCCCGCCAACGTACGGCTTGTCAACGTTTGAGTCAAACTTCATTCTTAATCTCAAATTCTGCATTGGAAGATGTCTCAATTGTTGATGATCGACTGGATGAGGTTGTTCGTTGTGCGAGCAGCATTTCGTTAAATTGTTTACTCATCCATCTTCAGGCGAGTACTGTATTAAGTCACCATTCAAGTTTTCTTCCATCGTGTTGAGCGATTCATCTTTTAAGGAGCCATAGAAGCATGCACTTGTGAGCATGCATATATGTGTATGTTTGTGATTATAATATATATATATATATATATATATATATATATGTATGTTCACGAATGGGCATGCAAAATGCCCTGGAGCATGTTATATGCAACATTCAGGCCGAAATCTGGCCCTGATGCAGTTGCGGCGAACTCGCTCTCTTTCGCCCTCTCCCTTTCTAACGCAGGTGTTCAGCCATTTGAATGTGCCTGACACACTTGTCCATCAGGACATGTGCCGTTAGTGTGGGAGGAGTATTGCGGAAGCAATACTGTTGTCCATACTCACACTGACGGCAGACAAT